GAGATGTATTTTCAGGAAAAAACATCCTTGTAAAAAATAAATCACTTAATAATTTCTCAGAGGTACATAGGCATGGTGTTTATTAGAGAATTACAAAAAATTATAACTGTAATAATATCTTGGATGAAGAGCGTTCCAGGTTTTAGGAAAAAATAACCCTTCGAGCTCCTACAACTTATACGCTTCGAGTGAGAGCTTATGATATATGCGATAAGGTTCTTCCTAGTTTGTTTGCAAATATCCTTGTTGTGCATGTACAACTACTTCTTTTAGGACAAGCTTTCCCTTATGCATCTCTCTCAGTTTAACCTAGGAGTTATACCTCTGGACGAACACGTGTTTGGAGGAGAATTCTCAAACATGGGCAACTTCTTTCAACTCGTCAATCAAATATATTGCACATTTCAAGACTATTTCGCTCGCATCCTCATTAGATTGGGACCTTCACCATTAAGGAGTGCCAATCCCCACAAATAGCATGGCGTCTGCCCCTTAGACCAAGGAAAATTGGGTTTCTTTGGTAATGGAGTGTGAAGTGGTGTAGTACGACCATAATATGTTATGGAGCAGGTCCACCCACTAGCCTTTGGCACCATCCAGTTTCATTTTGAGCCCATTAAGAATTATTTTATTTGTCGATTTGTCCTAACCATTAGCTTGAGGGTGTACAAAAGATAAAAATTTCATTTGTACTCCAAAATATTTACAAAATTGGTGACCAGTATGATGGAAAATTAGGTCCCAATGTTGGACAAGATGGCCCCCAGGAACCCATATATGTATATAACCTTCTGCCAATAGAAACAACACACTCTTTACGTCATGATATTGGCTACATCTTTTGCTTCTATCCATTTTGTTAGCAATCAACCCCATTATTAGGAATTTTAGTTGACTTGGTGCCAAGACAAAAGGGCCAATATTTTCCACATCACATTAGTAGAAAGGCCATGGCGAAGTCATCGACTGAATAAGTTTTGTTGGGGCATGGGGAAGTTCAACATGTCTTTGACATTGATCATACTTTTTGACAAAGGTGATGTTATCCTTCACTAGGGTAGGGCAATAATACCCCGCAATTAATACCTCGTTACATTGTTTACACAAAATATTAATAAAATAATTTGTTTATAAATTACAATGTTTAGCCAGAATATTACATTATTTACACATATTATTAAAATAAAAACTAACTTGTGCATGAATATGATAAGTTGGATCTTCGAATCATTGAATATTGGGCAAGACAAATGTTGGGTACAATATATTTTCTATTTCTTTTGTTTGCATTTGTTTTTGAAATAAAACAAAAAAAAAGTTAGATAAATAAATGTTTTTCTGCTCAAATAAATATTTAAGAAGACAAACCTTACACCTAAATAATTTTCTGCTCTTGCAATCCATCATAGAGAAATTTTCGTGGCAAATACTCTTGTAAAACTTAAAGTGGTGGATGTAGATAGTTTCAAGCGCTTCATAATCCTTCACTTTCTTTTTGATATTCAAAATGCTTTTATAATGGAAGTTTTTTATGTTTCACATGAATCACTAATGATAGTGTCTTGAGCGTTGATACTCATAAAATGGACAATAAAGATTTGTTTAAGAACATTGATCAATATCCTCAATAATCATGCAAATATTATCCCCTCGATTTTGAGAAAAACCAAGGTAAAATATGTTTACCCATCGATTTTAGTAGAAAACCGAGGTATATAATCTATCTTTTTTTAAAACTTTATATTGTTTACACATAATATTAAAATACATTATTACAACAAATACAATTTCATCATAATCGTTGTTATTCTTGGAGAACAACAAATCTTTGCATACCTTTTGCATGCATCCAACTTCTAAGGAGATATTTGCTCAAATCATTGGAAAATGTTTTTTCTGCACTTGCAATCCATCGTAAAGAACTTTTCCAAGCTTCTTTAAGTTCCAAGATTTCATTATCTTAAGTAAGCGTTTTCATGGGAAATGATTTCACAAGTAAGAGAATAAGATATATATGATAGTTTCTTGTGGATTTATGTCTTAGCAATATCTTGAGTGTTATTCCGTTATGAATGTAGGGTAGGGATTCGTTGTTGTGACTGCGTAATAAAACCCCTCGGTGATTTTAAAAAACCGAGGGAAGAACTATTTTCTTTTTTAATAAAAAAATAAAATAAAATAAGGTAACCCATCGATTTTATTAAAAAATTGAGGTAATAGGGTTCAAGTAAAAATTAGTGAATGATAAAAAATGAAACGTAACATGTCATGTTTCCATTTCAAATTTTTACCAATCACAATTTTTTGTATGCAACTTACACCATTTTTAGGAATAAATTTATCAATATTGTCAACTAAGAAAAAACAATGTTATTTTATTTGATAGACAACATAGGAAGGTTATTCCAAAAATACAACAACAATGTCAACAACATTATGTGAGACAGATTGCAAGGATGGAAAAAATATTTTGTTCAAGATAGAAGAACATTTTTTTTGTCTTGCAATCCACCCCAAAAGAATAATGCACACGACTGTGGGGCGGCTACATATAAGTTAAGATTAGAGTAAAATATGTTTAAAGAGTATTTTTATAGTAAAATATGATCATTTTATCCCTCGGTTATTACGAAAACCAAAGGGATATATCATTTTGTTTACACTTATAAACCAATAAAAACATAAACTGCTAAAGTTGAGATTCGAAGCATGTCCTGAATCGTTTTACCCCTCGGTTATATTTAAAATCGAGGAAATATATGGTTTTTAATTTTAAAACAATAAAACATAGCGCGCCTTGGCATTATACCTCATGTGTTTTTTTGTCTGGGGTGAAAGCTTCGTCATGAAATATATTATTTGTAGTTGTGATCTGGGTATAACTTTCAGGGAGTATACCTCGTCGACCTCTATGTTGAGGGAGGAAAGAGTCTCCTGGATTAATGTTATGTTGAACCCCGTCGTTTTGATGTAGCTAGCTTGGATAGGAGATATGCCCTGGAGTTTTATTCACGAGAGACATGATCTATCTTAAAAAAGGAGAAGCGAGAAGATAGATTTTTTACACTTTGTAGATACCTTATCAGCTGAGGCTCCTTTGCTTGGTACTGCCCAGAGACTTGGTTGGCGACCAATTGGGAATCAATTTTGGCCTTTAACCTGAAAGCTTCCATTTCTAAGGTGAGGATCACTCTGGCCATGAAAGCCTCATACTCCTCCTGATTATTTTTGCGGTGAACTCAAATTTTAAAGCTTACTTGATGAGTATGTTGCTAGGTCCTTCTAGAATTATTCCAGCGTCGCTCCCTTTTATGTTGGAGGCGTCATCGACATATATTGCCTACTCTGTGGGCGTCTCTTTGTTTACACATGAGAGCTTTATTCTACCAAGAGGTATTTTAGAACTTGTGATTTGATGCTTCCCCGCAGGACATATTTGATGTCATACTCTAAGAGTTCCACCGCCCATGATACCATTCTTCCTACTAAATCAGGCTTCTTATGACTTGCCGAACAAGATAATTGGTTTTTACCAAGATTTTGTGATCCTGAAAGTACGATCTCATTTTCCTCGTTGATATGATGACAACTAGCGTCAGCTTCTCGATCCTTTAGTAACATACCTCAGCGTCTCTGAAGACTTTGCTTGCGAAATACACAAGTTTCTTAAAATTTTAGATGTCTCCAAATCGGTCACAAAGTTTATTTAGCCACCAATTTAGCGACTGTAATTTTGTGACCGCATAATCAATCTCAATTTTGGTCACTAATAATTCTTTATTTTTCCATATCTTTTAATTCTCTTTATTAAGTTGCTAATGACAATTAATGATACAATTAAAATAAATTCACATAATTCTAATTAATATAAATTTATCTTTTAATTACAACAATTAATATAAATGAATATATTATTAACAACTAAAATTCTAAAAAATAAAACAACTAAGTAATTTCTTTTCAATTATTATTTGAATTTTAAACTGTAATATATTTAAGTTCCGTCATTATTATAACAATTAAACTGTAATATATTTAAGTTCCGTCATTATTTGAATTTTCCATATCTTTTAATTCTCTTTATTAAGTTGCGAAAAACCCTGTGTCCAAATCCAGTGGACGTCAATTTTCTAATTATATCATATGGTTTAATCTTCTAAATAAAATTTTCTCATTGATTAATTGATTCCTTAATTAACTTCCATTTCATTCAGCCCAACATGTCAAGAGCACAGTAGAATGATAAAACATGCAATTCAATTTATTACTTAGTAAGTGAATTGCTTGTTAGATTTATTCAGGTAATTTCTCATCGGTTCACAACCCACGTGATGTGAAAAGAGAGAGATTTTTCTTCGACTAAAAATTCAACTGAGAGAAAAAATAACACACTTTTCGTAACATTTTATGTTACCTCAAATAAGTTACCAAAATTAAAGTCATTTTCCAACCGAAGTGAAAAAGTCATTTTCTTATTGACCAATATTACATTTTTGTTGCCTTTGATTTTTTGTTAGTGAATCTTTTTTTATTGCATTGTAATGTGTATACATGTTTTTAACTAACGGCCAATGGTGGTACACGCCTATGGACACAAAACGAATAACACTAACTTGGTCTTGAGAAGATATTTATCTTTTACACCTTTTATTGTTGATAAAAGTTATAACATATATAATATATGGCTATGATCTCATAACCTGTCTACTTAATGAAGCATATCAGCATATGAATATGTAAATAATGTCTTTCAATATATTCAGTCTATGAAGTGCCATAGAAGTGTCTTTCTATCTCCAAAGTAATTGAGCATCTAAAAAGTAACACCTCTCTTGAATGTGTTTAGAAATTGTGGAAAGTCCTAAACCTAGCTTTAAGTTTCTACATCCCTATAAATAGCTTACCATACTAGCTCGTTTTATATAAGTTGTCAAGCCTCATATAAATATATTTTTTTTATATATAAATTGTACATTTTATTTTGAATTAGTTATATTAAGATGGAGAAAGTGATGAGGTTGGCCACAGAAAAAGGTGTGGTGATTTTCACAAAGAGCTCTTGTTGTCTATGCTATGCAGTGAACATTCTGTTTCGAGAAGTTGGAGTGTATCCTGTGATTCATGAAATTGACAAAGACCCTGAAGGGAAAGAAATGGAGAAAGCTATAACAAAGTTGGGTTGTAATGCACCTGTTCCTGCAGTTTTCATTGGAGGAAGGCTTGTGGGTTCCACCAATGAAGTAATGTCCCTCCACCTTAGTGGTTCACTCGTTCCATTGCTCAGGCCATACCAAATTTAACTTCATTTAATAAGTTTGATCATTATTATGAGGAACACATGCAATTTACACGTTCCTACAGTTATATATCTTTGCTGGAAGAATAAGTTAAGTGCAACATAGTAGTAGTAAGTCAAATTAGTATCCATTAATAGTATATCCAATGACGCGTGATTAAGGTTCTAGCATTTGATTATCTATAATGTAATATTTTAAATAGTCTTAATGAAGTCTTATTTATATATATTGTTGGAACAAATTTAAATTTTTCTACATTGTTAAAAAATTATGTGTATTTGTGTGGTAATTGAGAAAATTCTATGTTTCACATTGGTTAGTCTATACACTAAAGTTAGTTTTCAAAGTTATATAAGAAAGAAGAAAAATTATAAGTCACACATTGATTATATTACATATCTCTAAGTTCATTTATTATATAACGAATGCACTTGTTTCATTCTAAAATATATTAAGAAGTACGTTTAAGTTTTCTTTTTATTAGTGTGTGAGACACTTTTAGTGAGGAGAGAAAGAGAATAATAAAGGAAATAATGATTCTATTATTCACTTGAATCGTTTTATACAAAATAAGGATACACACTATGACTATTTATATACAATCCTAATTGGGTTTGGGCTTACACAGTTTGGATTATATTTAAATATTAAATCTAATCAAACCTAATCTAATATTTCAAGACACCCCCTTAATCCAAGTTGTCGAACATACTTAAAAATAGTCAATTTGAACTATTTCTAATTTCTTTCTTTAATTCAGAAATCTGTCGATCTTTAATCCCTTAGTGAAAATATCGGTCAATTGTGTTTCACTTGAGCAATGCCCAACTTCAAGTTCACTTCGATTTACCTTTTTTCTCAAGAAGTGAAACGTAACTTCAATATGTTTACTTCTTCCATGCAAAACTGGATTCTTCGCCAGATTTATGGCTGACTTATTATCGATTTGTCATACAAGAGGTTTCTTCACTTCGACAGTCATTTCTTCAAGTACAAATTTGATCCAAATTATTTGACATGCAACATAGAATCCTGCTATATATTCAACTTCACACGATGATAATGCCACCACGGGTTGCTTCTTCGAACACCATAAAATTGAAGCACCAAATACTTAAAAGAAATATCCAGTTGTACTTCTTTGATCCTCATTATCTCCACACCAATCAACATCTGAAAAACAATTAATTGTTGCTTCTTTTCTTTCAGAGTCTTGTCGAAATAGTCAGACTTGCATTTTACAAATCCCAATTTGACTAAGTATGATTCAATCTTCTTGTTCCATGCCCTAGGTGCCTGCTTGAGGCTATAGAGAGCTTTGTGCAACTTATATACTTTACTTGTTTCCTTCTGAATCACAAACCCAGGAGGTTGTGGGACATAGACTTCTTCGTCTAAAGGACCTTTCAGAAATATTGATTTCACATCTAAATAAAATGTCGACCAGCCTTGGTGATATGCCAATGCTACCGCTAGTCAAACAATCTCCAATCTTGCTACTTGAGCAAATATTTCAGAGTAGTTGAGTCCTGCTCTTTGAAGAAAACCTCGAGCTACTAATCTTGCTTTATATCTTTCTATCGATCCATCAACATTTTGTTTCAACTTGAACACCCACTTTATATCGATATCTTTTATATGTGTTGGCAATTCGACTAACTCCCATATGTTGTTTCTTTCGGTTGCCTGTAACTCTTCGACCATAGCTTACTTCCAATGTTGAATATTTAAAGCTTCGTTATGATTTATTGGTTCAACACATACAAGTAAAGTAAAATGAACTAATTCTTTATCTAGTGTAACTTCACCATCACCCATCACTTCATAATCATGAAGTCTTGTTGGAAGAACTATATTTCTTTGAGGTCTTTGGTTTGTATCTGCCACACCCTCTTTGACTTTGATATTGTCAGGAATGTCAACAACTGCTTCAACTTTGACTAGAAGATTAACAATTTCTTCGACTTCGACTTCATTAGTTTCTTCATTGAAACTATAGCTCATCAATGACTTATTAATTTCATCATCCGAATTACAATCCCAGAAAGAATTTTCATCAATCAAAATGTCTCGACTCAACACAATATTCTCATTAACTATATTTAATATCCTGTATGCACCAATTTTTTGATATCCTACCAGAATCATTGGTTCACTCTTGTCATGAAGCTACCTTCTTCTCACAACAGAAACATGCTTGTAACACATAGATTCAAACACCTTCAAATGACTCAATGATGGTCATCTTCCACTCCATACATCTTTAAGAACCCTGTTCTTCAATATCTTGGTAGGGCACCTGTTCAAAATATAAATTGCAGTCAAAACAACTTTACCCCATAAATATTTTGGCAAATTCTTCTAGTGTAGCATACATCACACCATATCCAATATGGTTATGCTTCTTCTTTTAGCAATCCCATTATGTTGAGGAGTATAAGGAGCCATTACCTCATGATCAACATCATGTTCTGCACATAATTTTTCAAACATCTTTAAAGTAGATTCGCTGCCTCCATGTGTTTGCAGAACTTTGATCCTCTTCTCACTTTGGTTTTCGACAAGCATCTTGAATCTCTTAAAGATTTCAAATACTTTATCCTTACTCTTGATCACATAGATCCATAGCTTTTGACTTAACTCATCGATAAACGAAAAAAATATTTGTTTCCACTAATGGCATGTTCTTTGAATAGACCACATACATATGAATGTACCACTTCAAGTATGCTGATGATCTCATTGGTATAGTGGAAACAAAATACTTTCTGGGCTGCTTTCCGACTAAACAACCTTCACAGAGTTTTTCGAGAATCTCAATACTTGGGATACCAAATACTATATCTTGAGTAATTAGTTGATTGAGTGATCAAAAGTTGAAATGTCCAAACCTCAAATGCCATAACCAACTATCCTTATGTTCAACAACATTTTTTAGACATTGTACTTCAGTTGAACTGATCATAGTTTTAAACGTCCTGTTCTTCGACATAGTAGATTTTAAGACCAAATTGTTCTTGGTGTCGAATAATTTTAAAACTCCATCTTTCATGACAACTGAGAAACCTTTTTTGACTAGTTGTCCAATACTTAGCAAGTTTCTCTTTATTCCAGGTATATATAGCACATCTTTTATCATAACTTTCCCTCCATTACTTATTTGAATAACTATGTTACCATACCTTATGCTTGCAACAAAATATTATCAACAAGTTTTACCTTGCTCTTCTTTGACTCGTCAAAATCTTCCAACCACTCCTTTCGACCAGTCATGTGATTCGAGCAACCTGAGTTAATGAACCAGGTCTTGGATTTAACATGGTTATCTGCAACTGCAGCCATAACCATTATACCACCTTCAAAATCATCTGAATTTTGGCGTGCACGGTTCGATCCTTCATCCTTGCTTGTCGATCCCTTGTATTTTCTGTACCAACAATTCTTGGCTACGTGACCCCACTTTTCATAGTTATAGCACTGCACACCTTTTTTATCTTCTTTTCCCTTTCGATAGTTTCCTCATCCTCCTTTTGAGGATTCAGAAGTTGTATCTTTGATTTGATACTTATGAGGTTTCGACCAAGACTTCTTTCCCCGAGTCTTGTTGATATTGCCTTTTAACTTGTTGGAACCACCATTCCTTTTCCATGACTGAGCTTGCAGTGCCTGAGTCGAGTCTTGAACTCCTTTCCATTCGACAATCCTCTTCTCGTGCTCCTCCAACGAACCAACCAACTCTTCCATTTTTATGGTTTCAAGACTGTTGGATTCTTGTATAGCTATGATAACGTGATCAAAGTGAGAGCTCAACTTTCTCATTACCTTCTTAACTATAAACTTTCTCAACCCTTCACGAGATGGGCGAGTTTCTGAACCTTTGACACATATTCTACAACTTTTTCATCTTCTCCCATCGACAATAACTCACATTAGTGACAGAAGGTTTACAACTTGACAACCTTGAATTTCTCACCTCCTTCATAATACTTCACCAGAATATCCAATGCACCCTTCGCCATTGCAGCATGAGAGATTTTGTCAAAGTTAGCAGCATCGACTTCCGTCTGAATGCAATAAGCAGCCTTGCAATCTTTCTTCTTGACTTTGTTGTGGACTTTTTTCTGTTCGTTAGTTACATTTGCAGCCAATGCAGGGTCTCATGGAATCCAAACAAGGATTACATCTATTTTTTCCATCGGATCCAATTCTTTCTATCAAGCATTAGAAGAGAATTTGGAATGCCCTTATCACTAGCCATATTCGTAACGGTTGATTCACTTGCCCTATAAACACGATCTCTGACGTGAATTTCTTGAAAACTTGATCAAGAACAATAATCATAAGCTTTGGATACCAATTTGTTAGTGCATGAGACACTTTTAGTAAGGAGACAAAGACAAAATAATATAAGAAATAAGAATTCTATTATTCACTTGAATTATATTGTACAAAATAAGGATACACACTATGACTATTTATATACAATCCTAATTTGGCTTAGGCTTACAAAACTTGGATTATATTTAAATATTAAATCTAATCTAATATTTGAACACTTTCCTCCCCTTTTATACTCTACATTCTCAAATTGCTGAAGCACAAACTTCTTCTCTTTTATTTCTACTCCTTGAATTTTTTTGAGTATTTTCTTAGTTTCTCTATAAAAACTATTTAGAGTGGTCTTTGTACCCTAAAAGGTGTATTTCTATATCAATAATCTATTGTGCTCGTATCAGTATTAAGTTGATGTGTTTTATCTTAGACACATTGTGGTTGATAGTATGCCTTGTACAATTTTGATGATTTGTCCCTTAAAGAGAATGACCTGGTATATGACTCTATTGATAGTTTCTTTTGTGGAATTTTCCCTACTAATTTGTAAATAAAAAACAACAATTTTAAGATGTTTTGAACTATCATGACTATCGAAAAAATTATTGGTACTTCCGTTTTTGTCTTTGGCAAACCGTTTAAGTTTAAGAGAAGTCATTTGAATCGTTGGT